TTACCTGAATACACAATTAGTAAATATTTAAAATTTCCTGAGAAGTCAAGCCAACACCTGGTTGATACTTATTTATTTAAATTAGACACTTTGTCCTGTGGTAGGCACAAGAAGCTGTATCTAACAGTCAGATCAATAACAAATAGTGTTTACAAAACTGTGTGTGTGATACAATAACCAAAAAGCGAAACAAGTAAAAATCTGCCAGAGCAGCATTTCAGGTGAATACAGTATGTGGAGTGTATTTACATGCAGACGATGTTGCAGTGTGTTAGCCATCTGCCTTCAGCCAGCATCCGTCACGTGACGTATGTTGACGTGTGTGACAGCGGTGCAGGGGAAGGAAGGAAGTGGAGGAAGGCAGGGCTTCATGGTCATTAATCATGTGTTTGGAGACATGTGGACACATACATATACAGTATTTCACACGTACATACACGCATAAACAGCATATAAGTGTGAAGAAGGATACATTTACAGAGTATGTACATGCACACATTAAATATTTATACACAGTATATACAGTTTGTGTGTGCAAGTGTGTGAAAGATAGTGAGGGAGAATGTGTGTCACTACATTATGAAAATCACAATTTCCTATGTACTATATTCTTCTCTATTTTTAATTATTATTATTGATTGTGCTTTGATTGCAGTACTACTACTAGATGACTTACAGAGGACAGTGTTGTTATGTAATCTATGTAAATTTATTTTCTTTAACTTGTTTCTTCAACAGACTTTTCTTGTCTCTATGAAGCAGCGTAGCTGACTCTCATGTGTAAACCAGTCACACCTGCAAAGCTCCAGTACATTCCTTGTTATAAACTAAATTTAAACCAGTCAGTGTGTCAACACTACAAATCTAAACAACCCTTCGCCAGTTGGCTGCGAGTTGCATGGGTTTAAACGAATACTTGTGTCGACATCCTCATAAACATCCTTGCAAAACACACAGATTGTAATAAAACAAATGTTTAGTTTTTCACTAATATAAAACAGGCTTAACAGTCTATTTTACTCTGAACGGGACTGTGATTTTAGTTTAAATTTGAATGCACACTTTTGAAGAATAGTGACGACCACAACAACATCACTGTTTGTTTGACATGTAATAAATGTACGTGGCTTCTGTGATTTGACGCTTGGCCTGTGATGCAGCCGTAGCATCTGCATGGTCGAAACAAACACAGTAAAAAAAAACATGCATTTTAATGGAAAATTCATCTTCCAACCCAGGGCAGCTGGGTGGGAAGCCAGTAATTTACTGTTGATGTGATACTGTAACAGTACACAATTGACATTTGCATAAAGCAAACATATTTGTCACCAACTTTGGTTAATATTCTGGAATCTGGTAATGAGTTTGGACAATTATGTAATGAATTATAAAACAAATGTTTAACCAGTTGTCTATACTAATCCTTTATTATTGCTAATTTGGATGTTACACTGTGAGCCCCTTGATTAAATATGATTTTTTTGGATGGAGAATTAAGTACAGTACCCCGTGTTGGCAGTTTGCTTCCACTAACCCAGGGGTGTCAAACTCATTTTCACCGGGGGTCACATCATCAATACCTTTCCCCTTGAAGGGCCAGTTGTCAATTGAAGACTGTATAGATCAGGGGTCCCCAACCCATGGTCCGTGGACCAGTATGAGTCCATAGGTCATATTTTTACTAATTTACTTCATTTAAAGGAAATCCAGTCATATCCCTTTACTTTCTTTACTTTATTTATATGTGGTACTGGCTGACCAGTCTTTGGATCAAAAAAGGTCGGGGACCACTGGTATAGATGTAACTATTCCATAACAGACTAATAAATGTTTCTGCAATTGGTTATTATTTATTCAAGCTAGAAATATTGTTTATTACTGTGTAATAAAAAAACTTTAATTTCATTGGTTAATAAACTCTGCTGCATGGAATTTACTAAATGCTTTTTAAGCTCCCACCGGCCACACAAAATAGCTTGGCGGGCCGCATTTGGCCCCCAGGCCTTAGGTTTGACACATATGCACTAACCTATGTGGGCTCCAGTTTTTGGAACAGGAAGTTTAAGTTCTAGTACAGAGTACTACAGAACTTTTCTGTTGTTCCTGGTTACTTGTCCAGACCCTGATCCTGCAGGGTGTATCTCTTTTACTTTTGGCTATAGAGTGAGTAATTTAATTTCCTGACCTGTCAGTTTTTGTCAGTAAGGAAACAGTGGTCAAACCTGACAGATTTGAGCTGAAACAGTACATTTTCTCAGAAATCTCTTCCAGTGGAGTTCAAACAATCACATGTATTTTATCAGGCTCTTGGAGGGCTATGGCCCACTAACAACTGATTATTTAACAGCACAGTTCACTTGACATTCCAAAATTACAACGAAATGATATCAGACCTTCTGAGCAGACATATAAAACCTCAAACCACATGCACACTTCGACCCTCTGAACATATCTCATCCGTTTTCCAGCTTGACCTGTCAAAAACACTTATGTTAAGGATGCAGGGGTGTGGGGGGTGCTGCATGTGTGACGATGTGAGCACATGTGTCCCGGGCTGTCTGCTGACGTGTTACAATGGGCTGAGGGTGTGTTTGAAAGACAGCAGAGAGATGGAAAGGAAAAAGGGAGAAAGAAAGGTAAGGAGTGTGTAAGATGATTGTAATGGCCGATGATAAAAAAAAGTTAAAGAAGAAACAGAAAAGAAAGCAAAGAGAAGCAGCAGAGAGAAAGAGAAAGGGAGCAAGCCAGTGTTGCATGTGTGCTGGTTCCCAGCCCTGTCAGGGGCCTGTCAGGCTGTGATTTATGGCACCGAGACTGGGAGCAGTCTTTGCTGCCAGCTCAGTATTGTTACAACTGACAGCTAATGAGGCCAGACGGGCTTTCAAGCACAGCACTTAACAGAGGCCTCCATCTTCACAAGTCACGAGCTCTCCTCTTTCTTTCCTCCCCCTGCTCCTTCTCTCTTCCATTTATTTCTCGTCCTTCCATGGTGGCAGCGGTGTGTTGTGTAGCTAGCACAGAATTTCGGAGAGTGCGCCGGGAGGGGTAGAGAACAAGCCCGTCCAACAGAGATATATGGGCGATACTCTGTTCCTGCCGCACTTCCCACTCTCTATTTCCTGCATGCTATTAAGCCACAGGCTATGCTCATATAAATGAGGAAAAGAAAGAATGATACACACAAAGGCGAAAGAAGTTGCCCTTAAACTGGACACACTGTGTGTGTGTGTGTGTGTGTCCCTAAGCCAAAACACTTTATTTATTTTTCTTTATTTATTTTTTGCTTTTTTTCATTGCTAGTAGGCTGGAACAATGTAGTTTCCCTTTTATCCTATAGGGGGTGCTATGATCAGCTTTTTAAATTTCAGTTCCATGGGGGACTAAATGTCCTTTAAGATAACAGTTAATATATTTAGCTTCAGAGACAAGCCGTCTGAATATAGGATATGCATGACAGGACAGACATGTCAGAGCCAGCAGTTACCCTGTTAACGATATGCTGCTGGCATGCAGAACACTTACTATACCTACAAACATCACGACAGATACAGTGTCTTATTTTGGAGCATAAACCACCTTCACATCTACATTTTAGCTGCTAATATGTTTGAAATGGGTTCTGCTAAACAGAAAATGTATTACAGAGAAAGGCCATGCTACTCTAAAGCTCAGCTAACTTAGGCTAACCCTACAAATCTTCACCCTTCAACTCAGTTCTGCTGGGTAAAGATGTTAAAAACAGAGAACGAGAGTAAGACATGACCTGTTTACAGTAAGATTTATGGACAATGTCAGGTTCTGGTTGTGCTGGATGATATAAATGATATAAATAATATAAATGGAAATCAATACAGAGTCCTAACAAGAATAGCTCTGTTTTTTATGTGTGTTACCACCAACACCCCTGGCCGGGCTCCTCGGACCCCGTGCTATAATCACTACCAGAGTCTTTGGCAGAGCTGGTCTCTCCCCCTCCCTCCCTCTGCCTCCCATCCACCGCCTCCCTCAGCCCCTGGTTTCTTGTCACTCGTGATTAATGGCACCAGGGCCCCGGCGCAGCTTACGCTGCCAGTTCCAGCGATGTTCCCTTGATACTTAATGAACTCTGACAAACTTCTTTTCCCTTGCTCTGTTGTTGCCTTTCCCCTCCACTAGTCCGCCCCTCCCTGTTTAAAATGCATGGCACACAGAGCTGCCACTGCAGCACCTATAGGGGTTAGTTGTGGCCCTTTGAACATTTCTCAAGAGGCCAGTTTCTACATATAAAGCAGCCTTTTAGTGTCAAGACCTTTGCTTGTGTGTCAGCTGGAGGCTTGCTCCTAATTAAAAATGAAATTAATTGACTTTTCGTGGTGTGTGATGATTGTCCTTTTGGATTGGTATAGATTTTAGCCTGATTTTAATGAATAGGTAATTTTTCTTAAATTATTGCTACTTGTTCTACCCGTTAACCATGTGACTGGTAAATTATATATATTGTAATACAACAGAGAAACCCAGTTGAATTTTTTAAATGTCGAATGAAGTTGGGATGGTGCCCCCAGCTTCTTAATACACGCTTCATGGGAATCATACAGAATCTTTATGCGGTCTCTGTTGCCCTCTGTTGTCTATTTTATAGAATAACAGGAATTACAGAATTACCCAATACTTTGGCTGGTCCAGTCTCTTTGCCAATTACAGTAGAGCTTTGCACAAGTTCAGTTTAGGATCAGAACTTATAGTTATGCATTCCACAGTTTTACCACTACCAGCAGCCTGAACTATTGGTAAAAAGCCGATTTAGATACGTGTTTCTTGTTGTTCTTTATTTGTTATTCTACTTGTTTAACTTTAACCCATACTACTACTATAACGTCTATAACTATAACTATTTATACACATTTATATTTACACCCATTTTGTGCTGTTACTGCATTGTAATTTATAATGAAGAGATCGTCAGCTACCCCGGTCTGACGCTGGGTGGCGCGGCTAACTCTTAATGTAGACCAGTAATTGAAGATAGAAGAAGAAAGAGGCGGAAGCGGGTGCCTAAAGTACCTGCTTCAGTACTTGTTTGTTGTTATTCCCGTTAAATTTCAGGTAAGACCTGCCAAACACGGAGAATATGGATTCGTTTCTGTTTTAAACGTATTTCTGTAATTTCTGCTTCGATTTAAAGTGACACTGTTGCGTTCGTCGAGGTTTATAATCAAATTTCTTAAATCCTGCTAGTGCTCTTAGCCCCAAAGCCCCTTCAAACTGAACTCCTTTAGATTTTGTCTATATTTAACTTTTAATTTGCACTAATTTATATATGCCCGAAAATATTTCATTATATTCAAATCGAATGCGTATCCTTACGCTTCTTTTTTCTATTCGGCATATTTATTTTAAAAAGGAAAATAAAGACTAGCCACGATATTCCATCATGTACATTTTCTCTTTATACATTTGAGGACAGAAGAAATATACAGTAACCTCAAACAATGAATTTTTGGGAACATGTCTTTTCCACATGCTTTTATGCAGAGCAAGCTATTTTAACTTATACAGTAACCTGAATATATTTTTTAAAAATACGCAAATTAGGTTACTTTTTCTAAATGTGGCCCTTGTCACACATGTTCACGAGTTTCCATATTTTGTAAAAACCCTTTTGTGGTGTTTTGAGTTTGTTGCCTTCTGCATAGTTTGTAGATATTATCTTTGCAAATTATTTCTGAGCATATCTTGGTTTGTTACAAAACAGTAACAAATGACATGCAAATCCAAAGGTCATGAGCTTCTGTTTTTTTCTTTACTAGGTAATTTATTTCACTTATTACAAACTAAAAGATAGGTTGGAACGTTTTGCACTTTGACCATAATCCTCCTTAAAAGTGACCCAGTGACTGAGTCCCCGCTGATGCTGGGTAAGCCTGAGCTGAGAGGAGATAAACACTGTGACTAAGATGCAGGCTCCAAACTGTTGCGCTTGTGTCTCATTATACAGTGTACTGAGTTGGGTGATCAGACAATGAAGTGGGACAATGAGAGAATGTCCATGAAGGGAAACTCTTTAGCTAAGTGTCAGTTTCTATATGCTGTTTTTCTTGTCTGGTCTCCAGGATGGCACAGTGGGGGGCAATTTTTTCAATAATTGCTGCCCTTGGAGGAGCAGCCCTTTTGTCCTCAGTGCACAAGATAGATGAGGGACACACTGGTGTTTACTACAGGTGAGCCTGCTTTACATTTTAGTCATTGTTATTTTTTAAGTTATACATTTACTACTACTACTATATTAAATTAAATGTTTATGCTTCAATGATATGAGCAATATCTTTGATATTGATGTTGAAATATCAAAAAATAATTCAGCTAAAAGCTGCCAAAATGCACATTCAAAGTGTTTGTCTGATAATGCCAAAGGGTGAGTGTAAATCTATATAGTATAATAAAATATAGTGCTGCTTGATTTAGGTCAATATTAGTCAAGTCAGGTTTATGTGACACCACTGCAATCACAATTGTAAATACATTTTTAAAAAAGTCATGTGAAGGGCTTCCAAAATCTCTTGAGAAAACATACAATCCTGCATCAAAGATTAAATGCAAATATATAAATATGCATTGCAGCATGAATAAAATCTAAATAAAGTACTAATGCAAGTTGCTATTGCACCTTAAAAGGCACACCTGCACCTTCTCTGGCCTGCTTCTTATTTAGTCATGTGTTTATATACAACCTGAACTTACTGCACACACTTATTTTTAAATATATTTATATGTTCTTTATATACCTATACAATATACCTGTTGTTTTTTATATATATTGATATACATTCTACATATACTGCATATACTTTGCATATGTTGATCTCTGCTGCTATTTATACATCTGTACACTAATATTATCTACTCAACAGACAAAAACTCATGTCCTGTCTTCGTGTCATTTATCTAGATTATAGATTTGTGTTATCAAGACTATAGATCTGTGTTTAGATTATCCTGTTTCACCGACTTTATCAAGTGTTACATGTAGAACCGAAGAGTTCCTGGGGAAACATAATGTCAACTCACTTAATATGTGTATTTGGCTGAAAAAATAATAAAATCCACATGAACTTGAGCTTGAAATTATATGTTAAAAAATAAATATACAAGTTATTAAGACTAATAATAATTAAATGTTATTTAGAGCAAAATATATTTGTTCACATTTTATTGCACTTCTTAAATGTATTCCAGTTGGCACTTAAATCCAATCAAAGTGGTTTAGCCACATGGCCTTCTAGATTGTACTAGTTGGCCATAAGACACTGTGGGGTTGATTTATTTTTATTTTTTTCAGTGGTTATAGATATTTATCATGTTGCTGAATGGTGCAGAGGCCACAGCAGTGAAATTTGTGAACATAATACAATAAAAGAGTAAACTTTCAGGGCATAGTGTGGCATTGTAATTTTGACTAAAGGAATTAACATACATCTCTGGGATGCACCGGGATGCATCATCAGTGATGTTCCTGGGGTCATCGGGGGTTTCGGGTCTTTCGATATCATACCTCCTCACACGCCTTAATCAACCCAACCGGGGTGATCAACCCAACCGGGGTTGATTAAGTCCCGGTTTGCATCCCAGTTGCTGTAGTACACGTGCTTGCCCTCTTGATCCAAAGCCATCGAATGGCTTTTTCTGCTGCTTCAGTGATGGAACTTGACAGCTCCGGTAACTCACAGCCCTGCCAAAGTTTTACAAATAGAACGGCCAGCAAACCCCCTGCAGCCCACCTCAATTAGTTTGCAGCGAGCCCGCCAGCTCAGGCTTCTGCACTCCTCCACCAGGTCCTGGTACTTTGCCATCTTCCTCTCATGCGCCTCTTCCATATGCTCCTCCCACGGTACAGTCAACGCCCACATACTTACCTGCTGGGTGATGTCTGAGTATATTATGAGGTCTGGGCACAGTCTGGTCTAGGTGATGTGCTCCGGGACCTTTAACTGTTGTCCAAGGTCCACTATCAGCTTCCAATCTGGGGCTGAGGTCAGCCACCCCGTGTTCATTTGTGGGGAGGAATGGGGCTTTTTTCCAGCCTAACGGAAGGGGATGGAAGTCTTTCTGGGTCGGTGTTTACTGGATGGCTGAGGCGACTGCTTCAGCAACTGCCCTGAGCACCTGTTCATGGCGCCAGCGGTAGCAACAATTGGCCAAGGCCTTGGGGCAGCTGCTGAGGAGGTGTTGCAGGGATCCTCTTCCTGCACACAGGGGGCAGGCCAGTGTCCAGCTCTTGCCCCAGGTGTGTAGGGTTGCTGGGCTTGGCAGGGTGTCATAAACAGCCTGGACCAGGAAACTGATGCGGTAGTTATCAGCGCGCCACAAATCTGGCCATGTGATTTCCACACTGCTGGTCTTTTCCCACCTTGTTAAGGCTCCCTGCTGCCTGAGTCCCACCATCTTACTGGCTCTCACCTCCTCAACACCTGCGCGCACTTCCTCCTGGAGGAGATGTTGACGCTCCTATCCTTTTGCTTTTCCTCCTGACTGGTTGGAAAGGAGCCCAGGCCTGATCGCCCTTTTGCCACCGTCCCAACAAGGGCCTTCTGTCTCAGCCGTGTCTCTGTCACCTGTAGCTCTCTTGCAGCGCTCCACTTCCTGCCTGTGCAGATCTTGATGCCAGCTGCTGCCACCTTGTGGTGCCTTGAGTCTCTATACTGTATGGCCTCCCTTGTCCGTGTCACCACGAACTCTTTACATGGGCCACTGAAGGGGAGTTTGTGGACCCGTACAGGGCAGCATTGCTCAGGCTCCTTGGTAAGCCAAGCCACCTTCGCAGATAACTGCTGATGTTTTTCTCCAAAGCTTCCACAGTTGACATCGGGACATTGTACAGCAGTAGTGGCCATAAAACCCTGGGAAGAATGGCATGCAGGTAGATCCATGCCTTGAAACAACCGGGCAGTCCAGATTTGTCAACCTTGGTGAGCCAAGGACACCCCAGGTCTTCTGGATGGCAGCTCTGTCCTTCAAGCTGCAGTCAAAGAGTTTCCCCAAACTCACCTGCTACCAGGAACCAAGGATGTTGTCACGGTTATAGCATCCATGTAGGCTCTGATTGGTGGTGACAGCACTCCAGACTTGGTTAGAGCCATTAGTGCCATTTGGATGTAATAGACCCAGAAGACTCTCTCATCTGGAAGTTACTGTAGTAATGCAAGATGAGCTGGTTGATCTTATTGGGGACATGGTGTCTTCGAAGAGTCTCCTCAACCAGTTTGTGCGGTATGGACCCTTAAGCATTTGCGAGGTCTAGCCACACAACTACCAGGTTGCCCTTACCTTCCTTTGCTTTCCTCAGAAGCTGTGTGACAACACCTGTGTGCTCCAAGCAGCTGGGTGTACCTGAGATCCCGCCTTTCTGTACCGAAGTGTCGATTTAATTGTTCCTTAAGCAAAATGTTGACAGCCGTCATGACAAAATTCTGAAGAAAATCTTTCCCTCTGTGCTTAGCAATGAGATGGTCCTGAACTGGTCGAGGTCTCTGGAGTTCTCCTCCTTGGCGATCCGCACTCCCTCAGCATATCTCCACTGGTTGGCGACTCTTCCTCGCTGCCAAACTCTCTTCCACAGTTACTGGCAGAGTAATTCTGCTTGGTCCAGGGGCAGAGGCTGATCTTGCTGCCTTGATGACTTCATGGACCTCTCTCCAACTTGGTTCCTTGACTTCAAACTCCGTTGTTGGTGGAGCTGGGCTTATGAGGGCATTATTGTGGCCAGGTTCCTGGTCTCGTTTAGGGTCGCTTAAGTTGTTATGAAGGAATGTGTTAACTTCCTCTACTGAGCACTCGAGGTGGCCACTCCATTTGTCACCAAGTAGCTTCCTGGTAAAAGTGAACAGCTTGGCGATGAAAGATGCTCGCTTCTTGCCCTCTCCTTCGCTCGTCTGTGATGCCACTCCGCTCCCTCGCAGTTCCACTAGAGGCTGGTGTTCCTCTTCACTGGTCGCCTTGTACTCCCTCCTGAGGGATTTCAGTTCTTGGCATAACTGCTGGATCTTGTTGGCTTTGCGGTTCTTATTGAAGAATTTCCTGCTGCTTGCTGTTTGGCCACATCTCTCAGACGCATAACTGACAATGATGGTGGTCATTGTGTGTAACCGACTGTCAGCATCACCCTTTGTCGTCCTCCGAACAATCTTGCAAATATCCTTGTCGAATTGCTGCCACAAATTCTTGCTGGTAGCTGTTGGCCATCTGATCTGCTGCCGGACTACTCTGGTTGGAGACAGGAGTACAGGTGCATGGAGGTGCTGGGCTCTGTGAGATTAATACAGTAGGGTTTTTTGAGAAATTTGTGAAATTTCGAGTAAAAATCAAATCTTTTATATATATATATAAATATTATAATATATTGTAAATTTAAATAAACCAAAAATGTTAGCCTGTACATTCACCTTGTATAATACATATTGTAATATGTAATTCATAAGGACATTTTTTGTTTTAAATTAAATTATCACATAAATTATAAAAGTGCATATTTTTTGTTTGAAACACAGGGGAGGGGCTCTGCTGACCACAACCAGTGGCCCAGGTTTTCATCTTATGCTCCCCTTCATCACCTCATACAAGTCTGTTCAGGTGAGTCAGTAACATAATGATTAAACCTTTTTCCTCAATGTTTTATACAGAGTAATAAGTTAAATATACAGTTTACTAAGCCTACATCACATAACTTGCATAGAGATATAGAATCTAGAAACTACTGGTGATAGCTACTGTGTCTTTACTCAATTTTAACACCAATTCACTGATATTTGTCTGCACAGGATATAAACCTAGTTTTGGTAATAGTTAGTGTTACTTTAAAATGGTCTCTTTTTTTGTTTGTTCAGATTTGTGACTTGTACATTTTCATTTCCAAAATGCCCACTTAGTTTAGTATCATTACAGAAATAGTGGAATGGAAAAAAGCACACCTTTCCAGAAAACCTATGTCATTCTTCTAAAATCCACCCTCGCACACACATTGCTCTGTTCCATTACACTCACATGGTCTGAAGACCAAACCACACTAATCCCAGTCTTGTAAAAAAAAAACAGAGTTACAGTGTTCACTAATGTGAAAGAGAAGTTTGCACTTTCACCAATTAAAGAAGTCATTTTTTCTAGTTCCTACAGTGTTGGTGTTTTTTTAAATCATCTCTACAAATTAATTTAAATGTATGGCGTTGTCTTCTTGGCTCTTAGACCACGCTGCAGACAGATGAGGTGAAGAATGTACCATGTGGCACAAGGTAGAGTTTCTCTTAACCATATTTTGCAATATCAGCTTTTTTGTGATATGTGGTTAATTTAGAAAAGTCTGTACCACAGGCCAAATAATACCATTGCCCACAGTGTCCTTAACAGTAAAATGTTTTTTTTTCCTTCGTCTTTTTATTTATTTTAGTGGAGGAGTGATGATTTACTTTGACCGTATAGAAGTAGTGAACTTCCTCATTCCATCAGCAGGTAAACTCAAAAATGTGTTTTACTCTGCAATGTTCTCACACTGTCTGACAGAAGATTTAATCTTCATGAAGCTCACACAGTGTGTCTCCACTATGTGATTGCTGTTGTTTCTACTTTTTCTGAGCCTCACCTTTCTTTTTGCAGTGTACGACATAGTGAGGAACTTCACAGCTGACTACGATAAAGCTCTGATATTCAACAAAGTACACCATGAGCTCAACCAGTTTTGCAGTGTTCACTCTCTGCAGGAAGTCTACATCGGCTTGTTTGGTAGGTCTAAAAGGTCAAAGGTTTTGTCCCATCCTCTCACAGTGTTATCTAAAAGCATATATATATATTTTATTTGACAATGTTCTCACATATCCACAGTTTGTGCTCATCCTACTCCTCTCATTCCCTGCTTTTCCTCTCAGACCAAATAGACGAAAATCTGAAGCTGACGCTGCAAGAAGATCTAACTTCCATGGCCCCTGGACTCATCATACAGGTACAGTGTCATAACATAGTAAAACAAGGACCCTTACAGTATGTAGGCCACATGGGTGCTATTACATCACACCAGTGTGTTAGACTCTATGTTCTGAATGAGCAGTTATGTATCCAACTAAAAGCTGTAGGTCGAGCTGCTGTTGCTTTACGTTAAACTTATGATAAGTTTTTGTGGAACTTTTGTAAGAAAGATTGTGTAAGAGCCTGAGATCTAATTTATTTCTGCTTCTGGATCTCCCAGACTCCACACCCACACTCTGGTTATAACTATTACTGTAAAAGCATTAGTTTAAAAGTCTAACACAGCACTGAAGTTTTTCTTCTTTGGCATCATGTTTTCTCTGAATCTCCAGAAACTCTTGACTAAACTGTGTATTTAATACAAAAATCACCAACAATCAAATAGATCATGGCAGCATTAATCAATGTTAAGTGTTCCAGCTGCTGGTTTTCCCCTTTTCCCTTACCAACAGATTCTTCAAAATTTATTTGTCTTTCTTGGGTCAACAGGCAGTGCGTGTGACAAAGCCCAACATCCCAGAGAGTATTCGCCGGAACTACGAGCTCATGTGAGTCCCCTGTTTTTTTCCACTGCATAATAAGCTTTGGTGAGTACTGTATTAGTTTTGCCTCCCAAATGTATCATTAGGACATTGTTTTAACTCTCCCTGCCAAGAGAGAAGAATCTCGTCATGATTAGAACATGATGTGTTTTCATGTGTCAGCAGGATGTCTGAGGTTCTCAAGAAAATGGAGATTTATTGTAAATCTAAGGCTAATTCAGTGGAGAAGAACTTGAGTAGCAAACAACAAAGATCTAATGATGAGGTTTGAATTATCCTGTGTCTCGGAAATACTGCAAAAAATATATATATAAGCTGCAGCCACTGCTCAAAAAGCTTCTCTAAGATAAACATTTCATTTAAGTTTTAAGACAATTATTATTATGCATAATGAGCTTTGTTGGGCCATATAAAATGAGCTGGGCAACATGTGGCCTCAGGCCTTGAACCTGATATATCTGATGAAGAACAACAGTGACTTCCATATGGATATGTGTCTCAATACAAAAGAGCCACCTGTTGGTGTGTGTGTACTTATCTGCATGAATAAAACATCTGGATCATGGACCACCTTCCTGGCCACATGGAGGCAGCTCCACACAGACAGCTTCCAGGAGTGGGGTTAAAGGCACATTTTAATTTATTTATTTTATTTACTTTAATCCTGACCATATCAAGTGTTACGGGTTTACATGTTTTTTAAATTACTTGATAAGAGTCTGGATATTATTGCACATGTCCAAAAAGGACCAATTATCCTGTACACAAAGTTTGTACATCATTTTCCCCTAGTGCTTGAAAACTGAAAAACATTTTCTTATACCAACTGTTACAAATCAGGTCAAAACACATCATGGCTCCATATTCCAATAACTGTCATAAAGTAATTAAAAATCTAACACTAAAAACATGTAGTGTAAATACATTTAAATTATCGCTATCACTTTACACTGTAATTACACAACCTGGATGCTAAATGTCCCTAAATGTAAACAGAAGTACCAGAAAAATAATATGTGTCTACACTGTCATGCCCACTGTGACCATGCTCACAGTGGGCTCCACACTCCACTCCACACTCTAAATGGCTCTTTAATATTTTGTAGGGAGAGTGAGAAGACAAAACTGCTGATCTCCCAACAGACACAGAAGGTCGTGGAGAAGGAGGCAGAGACCGAAAGGATCAAAGCTGTGATAGGTCTGAAAACTATAGAAGAGGTTGTTTGTTAATAGAGAAGTGATAAAATACGATTTTTGTAACAGTTCATTTCTGACCCCTGATTGGCAGAGGCTGAGAAAGTGGCACAAGTAGCAGAAATCAAGTTTGAACAGAAGGTGATGGAGAAAGAAACTGAGAGGAAGATCTCAGGAATCGAAGGTTTGTGTCTAGGTCTTTTTTTTAACATAAATGTATCAAATGCGTCCACAGTAAACATCAGCTGGAGAAGAATCATGTCAGGCCCAGGTATGTTCCTTAAAAAGGTGTAAATGCACTGACAACAGGTGTATTGTATTTGTGTAGTCTGGCTTGTTCTTGATGCAGAAATGCTAAAGCATATCTTCCATGTGAGTTATGTGGTTGGTGCAAAGTGACATCTGATTGTGTGTGGTCACAGCAACCGAGCAATAAGTTAGTGATGAATGTTCATACCAGGAGTGAACAGGGCCGTTACCTACAGACCCAGGGGATCAGCAGTGAAACTGCTGTAACTCACAGTGGACTTTTAAACCACCCTGCTGCTGACTGTCGACTGTTGGCCTTTTCTTATAATTTATAGATGGTGCTTTCCTGGCTCGACAAAGGGCTAAGGCAGACGCAGAGTTCTATACAGCACAGAGAACAGCCGAGGCCAACAAGGTGAAGAAATGACACAAGCCAACATTCCATTTGAGGTGCACAGTGTGCCTGGAGAGTCCTGACTTTTTACTGTCATTTTAAATTGTGTTTTTCAGCTGAAGTTAACACCAGAGTACCTGCAGCTGATGAAGTACAAGGCGATCGCTGCTAACAGCAAAATCTACTTTGGCAACGACATACCGCACATGTTCGTAGACACAGGTGCTGCAGGGACTTCTATAAAGGCCTCTACAGCCGTGGACATGGTGGGTGAGCAGATCTTGGATATGGATTAAGTACAGGGAGGTACAGGACCACCAGGAGAGCAGTGGATCATGTGGTAGAGAGCAGTAGCCTGGTCCATAAGGTCATAAGGCTGAGAAAAACTGCTACTGCTACTGCTGCTGTTGTTGACCAGGGCCTGTGTTTCTCAAGCATCTCAGAATCTCTGCTAAACCTCAAACTGAAACAGAAAATAATAATTCCCCACCCTAGAACAGAAAACTAGGAAATTCACCACAGGCAATATCACTCCAAATACAGTTGCTTCATTTTCTAAAATTGTAACAAACCCAAAATTATTAATCGGGACAGGTTTTGTCATCACATTCATATTTTCTTTACACAAAAGTATGAAGGGTTTACTTTATTTGCAATGCATTCCATTATCCTTTTTATCCTCTTACAAAAAAAAACCTTCTAGACTTTTTTTTTAGATTTTTTTGTTGCTTATTTGTACTGCTTCTTTATGGAAATTTGTTCTCATATATAAGGTGAATTATAAAATTTAGAGGAAGAAAAAGCAAAATCTTTCAACTTTTCTATATGAAGTGTTTTCAATGATGATTTCTGAAACTCTTGAAAAATACAGGCCCTACCAAGATACGTCACCGTAGACAAATCACAGGGAAGATGAATGTATAACTGCCTGGCCGTCAAACATAACATTGTCTTTCTGTCCGTTTGTTATTCATATTCATATGTTTTTGTAAATGGACATCTTTAATATGAAAGAATTTGAACCGTATTTTGCAGAAATGTATATATAGAACGATTGTTTTTCGCACTGTACCTTTAGTGTAGTACTGTAGTAATGGCTTCACTGTTTGTTGTTGTGTTTGTTTCATCTGTTAGTGTATGTATTTCTCGTGAACCCAATCCTGTTCACATCAAATGACAAAAGCAGTTTGTGTGTTAAAAGCAGCGCCGTGCAAATTGTGCCCCCTGTAGACCATATTCTAAAACGTTTGAAGGTGATAAGTTAAACCAGAGCTTCTGATCTGAATGGTTGTGTATAGAGAAGTTAGCTTCCTTTTTCATAAAGAAACAAGCATATGGCCGTCTTTCCATTTCTTTCCTGGGGAGGTTCTACACACGGTTTGAATTACTTCAAAATAGAGAAATTTACTCTACACTTCAATATTCATTATTCAAAATTGTGAGGTTTTTATGTCTTCAATCTTGACTTACCAAAGTAAAAACGAAAGTAGGGGCAGAGGGCAGCATCAGAGAAGGTAATCACGTTATTATATAGCTTTTGTGGCCATACTGATCTGATTATTTTTGTATGTTTCTCCAAGTTGTAAACCACCAAGTTGAGAAAGTGTTATTTAGCCTCTACGCCACTCTCTTTTCCTCAGACAAAATAATTGAGTTCAGCTAATGTGCTGTCATGTTTCATCAGCTCATAACAGACTTTTGGTTTTGGTGGTTAATTTTCACCCAAAGTTTGTCTTGGTCTGAACTTCACAGTCCATTCCTGTGTAGTACTCCAGTTGTTTCTCTGTTTGTTTGTTTTTTATTATCTGTGCCAGTTTTTTTTTTTTTTTTTTTTACCAGGTTGATCTTACACATGTTAATTCTTGCTTTAGTTCTTGACACATTACTGTCCATGTGATTTTTTTTCAGTGCATGTATGTCTGAAAGAGAAACCTCACACATTACTTCATATCAAAGGCTGAAACATGACTTCACTGAATTTTGCAATTTTTGAGGCTCATAATATAACATGTTTTTCCTTTTAAACAATTTAATTTCTTGTTTCAAAGCAAATAGACGAGCTGTCTAAATTAGGTGACTATGGTTAGAGGTGATGCCTGAATAAATCCCCCCTATTGTATAGTATATAAACCTTTAGGAAATACTAAAAAAACTCAATATATGTTTTTATTAATCTGTCCTTGGTAAGAATCACGTTACAGTGATAAAAGCGTGACCTTTGGAACAGGAACTGTTAGACAGTAAAAAAAAAAGGAAAAGTTTTGTACAGGTCAGTTATTAAGTCAAATGTTAAGACGATCAGGACCGAAATCATGTTTGTTATGTCTGATGTTTTTTTTAATCATCTAAGCATTTGACTGCAATTTTTTTTTGTAGATGTATTTTTGTGATTGCAGTAACATGTAGCATTTCCACATTAACAAGTGTCCACATGGGTTTCTACAGTAATTCATGCAATTGATGCATTTTAGATAATCATAATAATAATACAGGGTTTAATCTTTATGTGTGGGCTTATTATCTTAGAATTATGAGAAAGTTTTCTTTTCTAGTACAGAAAGAGACACATTTCTTTTAACCAAGGCCACATGTTTTATTTCCTGAGTCCACTCTTGTCCAATACAAATATACAGTTCACTGGGCCAAGTTTAAAACTTCCTGTCAGTCCTCAAAGTGACTTTTTTGTTATTATGATTCTGGATTCCCTGATTAATTCAAGAATAGCAGTGACTTTTCTTTGCACTGACTTCACTTGTGAGTACCTAGCTCTAGACACTGTCATTGGACAAATCAAATCATGTGTGTTATTCTATAGGAAATCACTGATAATTCTTATATATATAAAAAAAATATGCACTGAAGAAATTGTGTTTGAAAGTAAATAAAAATATACAGTTGTCTAACACCTGTTCTGCTGAGTTATTGGTAAAACTGGAAAAGCTTATTCCAAAGTGACATGTTCCTGGTTAAATACTAATACAGCAGCGATGCCAGCATTTAAAATTATCCACTTAACAGTGGAGAAAGTCTTCCGCACCATCTGTCACCTGCTTACACCTTCTCGTTTCTATTCAAACCAGCAGGTAAGATGTTGCCCAAGTTTTTCCAGCAGCACAAACATTGCAGATTAAGGGGTTGTTTTTTTTTTGTTTGTTTTTTTTTGTGATTTGCACTCATTTTAATTAAATATTTGAGCTTCCTGTTTCACAGTGTGGGCCTTATCAGGCTATGAATATAACTGTTCAAACACTCCTCCCCAAGGACCAGAATTCCCCTGATTTCCCCACGGTCACGTGGCTGTCTGTGACATTTACCGTAACTGGACTGAAACAAGTTATAACAATCAATTAATTGTTCTTTGACACAGTCCTTACAGTGCTCCCCCTGACCTACATCTCCATGACCTGGGCTGTTGAGTGAGGCATTGCAGAAAAACAAGTACGAGTGTGTAAACTGTAAGTGATTATTCGATTATCATACTGGTATTTTATGGGAGCACATTTAAGGTTCTATTCTGTCAATAGGTTCGACGATATCCACGGACCATGAAACCAACAATTTTAAAAACAAAACAATTGTGTGTAAAGAGCTTGGAGAAGCTGCCCAGACACCAGTCAAGGGCATGAATGACTAAATGTTAAACTGTAGGTACATGGTGCTGTTCCTCAGCTCCTCCTCATGAATGATGGGGGGGGGGTGTTCTGCAGATGCATAAGACGTCTGTTTAGAAATCAAGTCTAGACAGGAGCCAAAGGAAACACAGACTATTTTATTTTGTGGGGGCGTTTAGTAAAGGCTTCTACACAGGAACTCTTTCCTTTCTTTTTTTTTTATTTATTCTTTTTATGTCTGGACTACTGGAATCTCAGACCGAGACACTTTTTTTCTTTAACCAGGAGTAGCAGGAGGAGGAGGAGAGGAAAGTTGTACCTTCCCGAGGAACCTAACAGAGTCTCAGAACATAAACCGTTACCGAAAACCGGAGAAGATGTAGGAGCTGTGATGTTCGCTGCGTCCACACAGCATGAGGAGACGTGCATGCCTGTCTTGCAGGCTCTGTGGGAGCACGTGAGAACCGGACAGGAGCAGATCCTGCTCTCTCCGTACCTGCCTGCGTCCTGTGCCTTCCTGACGCACGTCCTCTGCTGTGTACCCTTCTTTGCTCTGGACGCTCTGGCCACGGTCTCCATGCGGGTCCGTTCCTGGAGGATCTCCTCAGACTCGGGGCCGACCCCGCCTGTAAGCAGATGGATGGTCTGCTTCTGGTCGGTGTTGTTGAGATACCTGACCGTGGTGCTGCCGGTCACTGCGCTGCTCCAGAGCCTGAGAAGCGCCGAGTTACCGTCACTGGCACCCTCATGCTGGCAGCTTTCCGTGGAGGTCTGTGCGTGTTTCCTGCTCTTTGACACGCTGTTCTTCATATGGCACTTCTCCATGCACAGGTGATGACTGACGATTATCTTATCTCCATCATAGCTTGAGGAAAACTAAGATGAACATCTACTTGAAGTTGGTGTTTGTCTATATCGCTCCTCTGCAGGTGGTGCTAGTGCAGTTTGAACACCAGGTCATTGGGTTGAGTGCTCTGGTCATATCTAAAAGCAATTTTGTAACTTTGCCTTAACTTTTCCTAAAAGAGCCACAGAATGTCAATAAGAATTAGACCAAATTCTCTATTTCAGGCTGTAGGGTGAGAGTCACTGAAATATTTATAAACCTGGAGCAACACGAAAAAGAAAAGAAAACACAGACAGTGGGTAGCATCCCTGACCATAAAAGCTCATAAATCCCTTAACGTATTGGAAAAATATGTTAAAGGTTTTTTCTATAATTAAACTAGCTAAAACTAAGTGATAATAAAAATCTTGGGCCAGAAATAGCTTAAGGTTTATCACAAATTTAGCAACAGTATTAGTATTAGACATGAAGGAGTTAAAGTTAGCAAATGTTTAGCAAATGTTAATGATAAATTGTCCTCAAAACTCTTCAGAGCCTTATCAAAAAATAAAAAATAAAAACTAAGTTAACTAAGTTAAAAACTAGTTCCGGTGCCATGGTTTGCCTTAGAGCCAGACTTTGAGCATCCATTGCAAAATTAAAAATCTATTTTGCAACTCAAAAACAATGTTTTGACATTTCTCTGTGTTTTTTCTTTAGGTTTTCATGGCTGTACACCAGCATCCACCAGCTGCATCACCAGCACCGTCTGCCCTTTGCATTTGCGGCCCAGGACGCCAGCTCTGTGGAGCTGCTGTCTCTGCTGCTCCTGGCTCTCTGCAGCTGCTGGGCTCTGGGCTGTCACCCTCTGAGTGAGGTGCTCTTTCACCTCCTCAACAGCTGGATGGCAGTGGAGGACCACTGTGGCTACAACCTGCCCTGGGCTCTGCACAGACTGCTGCCCTGCCTGGGAGGAGCCCCCTTCCACCAGGCCCACCACCGGCTGCACAGAGGCAACTACGCCCCCTACTTCACCCACTGGGACCAAATCTTTGGAACATACCATTGAAATGCAGAGGGATGATACTGACACTGACACTACTGCTGCTGTTGTTGCACATGTAGCTATTGGGAATTAACTATCAAAGAAAGGTGACAGAATTTTAATGAAAAGAAATTTAGTTTTAATTGTTTACAATCTTCAGAATGTAAATATTAATATGAGTCGTCACTTCGAGTCGTTGTCTGCACTTTGTGAATTAATCTTCATTCCTGTTCTTCTGGCAATCATATCCTGTTGTTTTTTGAGATTGTTCTCTACCACTACTGAGTTTCTAACTGTGGCAGACACTTAACTGGATAACTGGAATGGTGGTGGAGATTTATAGGATTTCGGGGAAATATTTCTTCTTACTGCTTGTTACCATTAAAACTATAAATACAGTAAATAAAACCAAAATAGTGACTTGTAAAAACAAACTGTTTTCAACAGCTGAGGATCTGCATTGTCTAAGTGGTACAGACAGTTTTCTTCCAATTTGATAAAACAAGAGGCTGACAGAATAAAGGAGATTTGATCCAGCTGTGATGCACAGTGTTACAATGTAATGTGTTTTAATCCCTTACTTCAATTTCCTCTCTACTTCAGAGAATCAAAGCCAAAGTATAAAAAATGACACAAAACTGGACCAACGATGGTTGGCTTCAGATTTTATTGAATGACACAAGTTAAAAAAACAACATTTTGTTAGATTAATTAATCAGTTAGTTAGGGAAACGATATATTGTTTTTGCAAAGTTTTTGTCATGTCTGTCTGTTTCCTTTTCCTGTTGTCTGCTTTGTGGGGTAATCTGTCTGTCCACACTCACCTGTTGGTAATTGTCTTCACTTGTGTCACCTGGTGCTCCCTGTGTATATATACCCCTCTCCCTCACTCTGTCCTTGTTGGATCATTGTGTGTGTTTGATCATTGTAGTTGGATCATTGTTCAGTTCTTTCTGTCAGGCTGTTCGTGTTCCTGAGTTTCCTGTTCTGTGTTTCCTCGTGTTCTAAAGAGAATTCCATGCCTGTTAGTTCTTCGTGTTTCGTTAATTTGGACTTTGTAAATAAAACCACCTGCACCAGAAAGAGTCTCACCAGTACTGCATTTGGGTCCTGCCTGCTTCCTGCGATGCCCGCACGTGACAGTTTTAAATGGTGTGTGGGTTACACTTTGTGAAAACTGTGAAGGTCTCAGCCTGTGGTGTTAACCTGGATCTCAGAATTTTCTAATCAGTGAAAATCTCTAACTATGACAGCATTTTCTAAAAAAAATTAAATCAGATTATTTTTTTCTGTTCTTTTTAGATAATTCAACCAAAAATTGTTTCTTTCTTTAAAGTTTGAATTCTACCATATCTGGAGGTAGAATTAAGTCTAAGAAACCAGATTTTCATCTAAAATGTCAGTTTCAGTTTTTCAGGAACTCTGACTCCAGTTTCTCCTGTTTTAAATCCTTATCTCAAGGTGGAATTAGTTTTATTTAATCCTTGAGTGGCCATTCAGGTTTAGACTTGTGCTGCTGCTGTCTCTATTGCTGTTGCTGCTGTTTCTACTGCAACTGCTGCTGTTGCTGTTCCCGTGGACACTCATTTTCACTCAGACATTTGCTCACTTATCAAAACCATGTGTGTCTGTTACTTGGTCTTTGTAGAAATGTGACACCTGGAGGTCACTGTTGGGAGTTGTAGCTGTTTTTTATCTGCTCTTTTAATCACTGCTCTTTAAAGCCAGTCATAGTAGCAGCCCTGAGGTTTTACTTCAGTTCCTCTGAGACCACATGAGAGGATTTTGTAGACTGTTCTTATATAATAGGATAACAAAGACCTGGGAGATTCCTAAAGCCTCTCAAAGCCCATTACAGTGAAATTAGGTTCTTGTGATTCAGCACAGGAAATGAAAATGAAATGTTACAACATTTCTGATGTTCTCTCCAGATGACCTGATTTTTAGATATTTATTTTCTAAAGTCATTGTGGTGAGTAAGTGTGATTCGTCTTAATGAGCTGGGACATTTGTGGGCACACTTTGCTGAGAAATAAAATTTTCAAAGTTGCGAAACGACAGACTTGAGTTTTAATTATTAAAATGTGTTGGCAGATTTTTAATCAATCAACAAATTCTTTGTGCCTGGGAAAAGAGAGGAAGGAGTGAGAGCGAGAGGGGGGGCTGGGGTGGGGGGATTTGACCCAAAACGGAAACAATCAGGCCTTATTACAGGGCCCACGTCAGAGCCAGGGCGAGTCATGTAGCTTTGGATGACACACCAGAGTACACGTTCACAGCAAGACAGAAGTCTACGTCCTGTAGACCACGTCAGGATATCAGACATCGGTGCCTGCATCAGAAATCAGCAGGCACTCAGAGGAAAATGCACTAGAAATATGTGAGAGATTGAACAACAACCTTGCAAAAGCAAGTAGCAATAGTGGTTGAAACTTTTTTTAGGTAAACCAGAACCAGAAATTGAAAACATTTTACAAATGAATTACAGATTTTTTTACATGATCTGTTTTTAAAAAAGCAGTCTTTTTTTTCACAGCAATGTGGTTCACTTTGTAATGGAACTGATGTTTTTAATAGAAAATGGATTTGGACTACAGACTGGCCAGTAAAACACACTTCATGTGAGAGAACCTTCTAACTAAGAACTCTCTGTTATATATAAATATACGTATATATACATATATATACAAATATATATATATATACAGTATGTATATAAATACATATATATATTGTCTTATATATATAGTTTCTTTAAATTCAAAATTTCTTCCTTATAGGAGATGATTTTCCTCCCTTATATCAACCTTGGCATAAGCACTGAGCTGACGACAACCATCTGTTACAATCAAGCCCTGGAGGCTCATTCAGATTTAAAAACCTTGGACCTCTGACTCTCTTTAAGAAGCAGTGCTCTTTTAACTCCATGGGTGAAAAGTTCCCAATGATAATATTGCTGTGCAGGTTTAGAATGTGGCCCTAATCTCAAGTGCAGCAGTGAGAGGAAACCAGGTTTGACAAAGATGAGCGTATCAAGACAGATGAGAGGAAAAAGCACAGAGCTCTCTGAGGCCGTTCTTATCGTCAGAGTAAATACCATAGACTTCCCATTTCACCATAGTTCCTGAATGTTTGCCATTCCCTGACAAAGGCCAGTTTCACATTTCATTTGTCATTCTGTAAATACTCAATTAGTGAATACTGCACACAGCACACAGGGCCTGCTGGCCCAGGAAGCTGGCCCTGAGGTTCATGCTCTCTGGTTTGTTTCCATTTATAGACGACCTCTGCTCTCATTGTGTACGAAGGGTCAGTCAGAGCTAGTGTGTTTGTTTATGAAATATCTGAATGCACTTGTCATTTTTGAGTCGATGCCAAAGACTTTTTGTTATTGTTTTGTTTAAACAATGATTTCTTTCTGCAGCAGTCACTGGGTGGGTTCCAGTGACGTGCGGTCACGTCGTGCTAAAAAATAAAAAATTTGGGCTACATAAAATAAATATTAATATTTTCCACTGATCTGTGTTAAAGATGGATTTTTAGTATGATTAATTTTTGACAATTTATTAAATAAAAATCGCCAATTTTTAAAATTTTGCAATCAAATACAGGGCAGAACTCCCGGGTGAGGCAGTGGAGAGCTGTGCCTAACTTCTAACGGCGCGATCCAATACAAACTGGGTCACATGACGCGTGCCTGTTTCTGTTCCTCAACTGATCGTCAATATGAATTTTACAGAAATATTTGTTCTACAGCATGACTCTCTACACTCTGTGTATGTCTTTGTCTTTAATGTATGTGTGAGAGAGTTGCTCCTGCTGATCGTACAGGAAAGTGCAGAGAAAGGTCAGGAGGGGAGGCAGGCAGTACTCTGCCTCACCTCAAGGGGTCGTACGTGAACTGACAGATGCTCTCCAACTGACTTCAACAGACAACTGAAAGTCTGCGCCAAGCTAGAGCCAGTAATAGGTCAAGAACAGAGTTGTTTACGCTCTGCCTGATCCGACTGACTGTGGATTGTATTTCAAGACTAAAACATTTCTCAAAACTGGACTTCCGGTGCAAACAGAAGGTGATAAGTGATGGAAGACCAACTTTGTCTTCTACTTCTTTTCCTTTCGGCTTGTCCAAAGTGATGGGTAAGTGATGGAAGACCAATGCCGAAGCTAAAAGGTTTGCTTCAAACTATGGGACAGAAGAGTCGTTCTTTTTAAATGTACTGGTACAAACGAAAAGACTGGCTGTGTGGCTGTCCCGTAAGAAACCGCCTTTACTGCTTTCCTTGCCTTTTATTCTCCTCGTGTGATAACGTCTCAGCCAAAACACATTTAAGAAAACCGATAGATACAACAAATGCTTTCAAGTTTTGTTTTTTTTTTTAAATAAGATGGGAGTAAGTAATCAAGTAATCAAGTAAAAAATCAAGTATTTGATAACTAAATTTTTGGCCTAAATTTTTTTTTATCATCTTGATAGACAACCTTTGATTAAAGCACCAGAATTTAAATTTGAAAAATAACTGAATTAATTACTGATGGTCAAAATTAAATTTGTGCTGCACTCATCTCTATACTTTAATTTGTTAACAGTAAATATGAATTGCTGAGACACAAGAAGGGTGCTCTGTCCGTTCCTAAAAAAAACCCCACGTTCTTTGTAGGACAAATATGTTCTTGTGTTTATGTTTGTGTTGGTGTGTCTCCAGAGGAGTCAGTGCCTCAGCAGCCATGAACTATTAAATACGTGAACCTCACGGCACGTATTATAATATATATATAATAATAAATACCCTGCACCTCCGTCATGACACACACTGTTGTTAATAGATACAAAAGGTTTAAACTTTTCAAGACTAGAATCAAGGGGCTAAATATCTGTTTATTTATAATCACAAAAAAAAAACAGACATAAAACATTTAACCTAAACTTTTATTTTTGAAGACTTTTTCAGGTTGTTGTTAGTATAGTATTTTACTGATCAAAAGCTGGCATACCAAAAATTTTTTCTGAATTTTAACCACAAAAATGGACATAGCTAAGTATTTTACGGTAAATTAGTTCACTTATAGTCACTTTGAAAAACTTTTATTTTTGAAGATTTCTTTTCAGAACTTATAGTATTGTATTTTCTCTGATCAAAAGTTGGTTTACCAAAAAAGTTTTTTTTGTTTTGTTTTTTATTAACCATGAACTTGGACATAGCTATGTATTTTTAGGCAAATTAGTGCATTTTTTAAAAAACTTATTTTTGAAGACCTTTTCAGGAACTTATTTGTTAGGGCTGTTTGTTTCTCCTTCCTGTTTTGTCATCTTACTCACCTGTGTCTGTGTGATCAATCCCACTCATGTCACCTGGTGCTATGGGTGTATTTATTTATTAAGATAAAATTTAGAGAAAAAAATCAAACATATATATATTATATATATAAACATATATTTTTTCCATGGTTATGTTTTGATGACAAACATGCACAATAAAAACATTTTGAAAAAACATTTTCATCAATCTTCTTCAACATCTGACCAAAAATTAGGGTTTTGCCGAAATATTACAAAATATCAAAATTATTTTTTCAAATGCTGTATTTTGATGAGAGACATGCAGGAAAGCTATAAAATTTTAAACAAATTTTAAAAAATGTATGTAAAATTTTCCACATCTGACCAAATGTAAGGGTTTTGCTGAAAAATTCCCAAAATATGTTTTAATTATCCAAATGCTCTAATTTTATGAGAAACACTCAAGATAAACCTTTGATTTTTTTTTCAAAAATTTTCATCAAGATTTTTCACATTCCGACCTAGATGATAGACAAAAGTAAAAATTTTCCAAAAAATGCCAAAAAAAATGTTGTTTTTTTTTAAAAAAATCT